CTCACACAGACTATTCTAATACAAAACTCGTCGATTCTTAGGTCTTAATTGTTCTAGGGCATATTATTAAATTACTATTATTATTATTCCCATAAGTTCCGAATAGAACATAGGGCTTAAAAGCAAATCTGCATCCTACCCTGTTCTCCGCGATCCTCTTCATCTGACTCCACAACTGCCCATAGGCTTTCATCTCTTCCTCAAATGATCTATTCTATGACACCCTCAAACCCAGGCCTAATTCATCTTTCCCAATTAAGGTACCACTCTAAGTAACGCCTAGAGTGCAGTGTCATCTGACGGTCTCTTCAGCGTGAGTCCAGTCCATCTGCATTTTCTTTGGAATATTTACTGAGCAAAAGACTCGTGATTGGTTTGTTCCTAGGGTTTCTTGTTGATACTTCTCTCTAACTGGCCGTCTAATCATTAGTACGAAGTGGGAGAAGGGGCAGCTGTTGATAGAAGTATGCAATGGCCTGTTCGAAATGCTTTTCGTAGCATATGCGCTAAGTTTCTGATCTGTATAGATGTATCTCATTAAAAAAGCAGTTGTTCTTTCAGTAATATTCGATAAAATAGTTTTAGAACCTGTTGAATTCATCAAAAAGAATGTTCACTGTTTGCTTTATGATGAAGATTTTTAAACAGTTATAAAAGACAAAAAGTTTGAGATTTAAATGAATTTGTCAATATTTATTATAACTAAATAGACTGCTTCTCCTTAGTTTTCTTATCGTCAAATCACTTTAAAAAACACTCATCAGGCTTCTACAAGTTTTGCTTTTTACTAACGGAAATATATAAAACTGTTATTGTAGATGAAAATCAAAGATATCATCATTTTATTTTTATTTTATGTAGACATATAAACAGCTGAGTTTTTAAACATCCTCACCATATTGTCAAAAGATGGTTTGTAAGGATTATATTTATTTCTTCGAGTTTGCCCACAGATTGATATCAGTTAGAGAACTATTGAAAATCAGGGAGTACTGGACAGCTGCTTCATCCTAGTTTGGGAATCATTGCCAGTACGCACCCATCATCAGGTTTCGAACCCAGGACCTTTCGGTTACACTGAGACCCGATTGAATGGTCAGCCCATGAATTCTAGCTTCTACCAATTCGTGATTTAGCGCAACCCTAACCAATGTCACCGGTGTGACATCCATCCTCACACGTGACATCTAGATGGACCTCACTGGTCACAATTCCTCACTAAAACTCCAAGAAACTCCGTCCTGTTTCAAGTCACTAGCGAGGAGCAGAATAATTTTTCAGAGAAGTCGTGACCAGTGAGGTCCATCCAGTCAAGTGTGAGGATAGATGTTCCACCGACGACATTGGTTGGTGGTCACACTAAATCACGAATAGGTAGAAGTTAGAATTCATGGGCTGGCCACTGAATCGGGTCCCAGTTGCTGAATGGTATACGAGCTTGCCTTGTAATCGGAAGGTACTGGGTTCGAACCCCAGTGGTGCGTGCGTACTGCCGATGATTCTCGGACTAGGATGGGACATCTTTCCATTACTCCATGGTTTTCATAGTTCTCTAACTGATATCAATCTGTGGTCAAATCCTCACCATTTGACGAGAATATTCAGGTTTATTTTGTATCAAAACAAACACAATATACATGTGAACTGTTTTAACTAGCCACTTGTTGACTTTTCTTTCCTATTTCATCAAAACAGTCTGTTCACACGTCTTACTATTAAATTCAAGTCTTAGCGCTTCATGATTTCACATATGATATAACCTAATTAATTAGTTGAAAACGAAATGTGACTTAGTTCACCGAAGAGGTTCTTGTGGAATCAGGCATACTGGTTGTTCAACCCATATCCTACCTAAAAGGGATCAGGAACCCTATCTTGCTCTATAAGGAGTCATTCTATCTGAACAAAAGCCTCCTTCAACCACTTCACCTAAAATATCATGGTAACAACCTTGTTGATTTCCACCAACTTGATTTTTGTTTGTTTGTTCGTTTTTCTAACTCCTTATAACTTTTGTATTTGTTTAGAACTCTTAAATAATTCCGTATGTTTCTTCTTTTCTATATGTATGCTGATTACAACTCATTTATTAAATTATTCATCTTATTACATAACTCGAATACACTAATTCAACTTTCCATATTCATTGACTTGTATTGAGAACTATGATTATGACAACTCATCACTTTTGTTACTACCCTCTTTCGTGTATAAATGGGATCGCAAATGAATTACCCGAAAAAAGATTCTTTTCGTTGAACTACCTCTTTTGTTTTCATTAGTAAATGAATACTTGAGGATTATTCAAGAATTAAAAACCAGTTGGTCTACACTTATTTCACTTCACATTCATTAAATTACAAATCAGTTTCCTCAGACATCATCAAAATGTGAATGTCTAAGAATCCTACTTAGTGTTGCCACAATGGTTGTCATCTCTACAGATAGTTCATTAGGCAATAATAATGGCTTTATTCTGAACAGTGTTTACATAATGTCCAGGATCTTCAAGTAAAATAGTAACTGTGACAGTAAATCACGTGAGACATTTCTGCTTCCTAACCTGAAGCGAAAACCAATCCCCTTTTATGCTATTTCTTCTTTGCCTCCTCCCCGCCCCTTCGAGAAATGCATAGCAGTTGCTTGAAAGCTAATTAAAAATGGTGCCAGAGTGCATTTTTTGACCTGAGGACATCATGATAATAAAGCTGGATAATTGAAGACTGCAGTTAATCAGTTATATATTTCTCTAAAAATCTCGGGAACACTTATCTCATATATTGCAAAAACGTTGTAACTCACGATTTTGTATTTTCTCAAGTTTAACAGAAACTTGAGAATAAGCACAGCAGGGTTGTAGACATTTTAAATACTCGCGAGAGTAGAAACACACCATTGCAGGTCATATTTTAGTGGATTAAAACACAAAATGAACATGAGGAATTATATGCAATGTAATGATGCAGTGTTTTGTTAGCTCAGGTTTTAAACAGGAGAGGATAAAGTCACTCCTATATTAATTTGTTTATTAGATATATCACACAGTCAGGGAAACAGTATTATTATTTACTGGATGACGCTTCGAACACAATTTATCGTTCATAATCATCTCATCATTTTTAACCACAACTCTTTGAAACTGTCATTTCATAGTTTTCTTTATTCTTTCCTATTTGTCTTCGTAGGGGTAGCAGATCACTGGAATAGGTGCTCAATCTTTCTTATTACACATGTTTGCAGTTGATTCGATAAACAAAGCTTCCGTTATCAATTATCAGTAGTACTTCCATACAAAGAAGGAAACTTGGAAACCTTACGGAAAATTCTTAACAATACAAAAATAAAACTGGCAGGCATTCAAACCCTCAAACTCAATTAGAAACAGGCTTTGTCGGCTAAAGGATCAATCCTGTGGAACCAATTAAACAAAATAATTTAGTTTATCTAATAACCCGCAATCATTTTCAGGTGAAATAAACAGATCAGAGTAGTAGAACGGGGTCAGACAGACTAGTAGAACACTATATACAATTACACACAACCATTCAATAGGATGGGATAACATGACAGTTTTAAAATATAATATAACAGGGTGGAGGAAGAGATTGATAAGTGAAACTTTGTTTATCGAATCAACTGGAAACATGTGTAACAGGAGTGATTCAACAACTATCCCAAACATCTGGAAAATTCTGTTACCCCTAAGACAAATAGGAAGGCATAAAGAAAACTATAAAACTCAAGTTTCGAAGTCGTATGGTTATAATTAATGAAGTGATTATGACCAGTAAATTGTATTCGAAACTTCGTCATCTAGTAAACAATTATCCTGTTTCATTACTGTGTGATATATCTAATAAACAAATTAATATGGCATTACATACTACCACAGTGCCGAAGTTTTACACATATATTAGTAGGAACTTCGGTTTTCGTCTAACAGTTTCTTCTTCTTATTGCAAACCATAGTGGAAAAACTCGTTTTTATCAGTTTATCAGTTCTGCAACTAAATATTTCTATCAAATTATATGAAAAATAAGAAAAAAACAATTGTCTTAGATGTCTTTCTTCTACTTGTGAAGTTTGTGTAGCAGAAATATATGCCTACACACTGATGTGCATGTGGTACCTGCGGTAAGAGAAATCAGTGAGATACAATTCGATTGTATAATATTTAAATTCATTTACTAACACAGAGACAAATTTTCACATTTGGAGGATACATCTGATACGGCCAAACAAGGTAGTTTAATTTATCAAATACCATATAACGAATGTCAGGTTAAATACATAGGACAAACTAGCAGAATTCAGCTACGCATTTAGAATAGTTGATATCACCAGGTAAATTTACTTAGAAAAATCTCGGCCATTTCTATGCATGCGTCATTGGTCCTCGAGTAAACACCCAACAAATTCAGTGGAAATGCTACAACACTAGTTCTAGATACATAATAAATTGCATTAATATATATATATATATATATATATAGGAGGGATTGTGAAGCTATATAAAGTAGTCTTAGAGTGTATATTTCTCTTGTACTTCAAAGTCCCTGCAGGGATTAGATTGATATTTTGGGGTACAGTCGTTAGCCCCACATCTAACCTCCCCTATTTTTTCGTCTTGGAAACATCTAGTAAACTAGAGGACTAATAAGTAGACGCTGAGGAGACTTTTAGGTGAAATTACGTGCCAGGCCCTCGAGTGGATGATATGATTATGAACAATAAATTGTGTTCGAAATGTCATCCAGTAAATAATAATACTATTTCATCACTGTGTGATACATCTGATAAACAAACTAATATGGAATTACATACTACCATAGTGCTCAAGTTTTACACATAAGTGTTATAAATGCTGTCATTTCCTTTACGAAAATCAATTTTTTATCTCAGTAGTGTTGTTACTCTCCTAAAGTTTTTTCGTTATACAGCACTATGATAATTTCTACTCTATACATATCTATATATATACTTTGGTTTTGTATTTCAGGTTATGGACATGCCACCCCGAAAACAGATACAGGCAAACTTATGACAATCCTGTATGCATTAATTGGAATTCCATTAATGTTCTTGTATCTATCTAATATTGGTGATTATTTAGCTGATGTATTTCGTGTCATCTATTCACGGACATGTAGAACAAGTTGTGATAAATTTTGTTCAGCATCAATATTCAGCATGAAAAGTGATAAAAATCGTGTTGAACAATTGAATGAATCTGCTCTACCAGTTGATAATGATCCGTCAGTCAATCCAACACATGCTACACATGGTCGTCGGCGTAAACGTGTTCTACTACAACCCTTCACTATAAATACAACATCAAATATATCTAATGATAATAATAATAATCATCATCATAACTTTAGCATAAATGATACAAACGGGAACAAAATTAATCTTAACAAAGATACGTGTAAAGACGACAAACAAGTTATGAATAATATTTCGAATGAAACTAATACAGGATTCAATAGAAAATGGAATTCACGGTTAGATAAATTAAAAAATAAACAATTTTTCATAAAACTTTCTTCATATTTTCACAAAACTCGTGTATACATTGCACAATCTCGTTTAGCAGCATTTTTTCATACAGACAGTAAAAGTGCATTAGCTCAGGTGAGTTCTTCTTTACTTTTTGAAGTAAAATGATTTTAAAGAATTGATTCATGAACAAAGAATATTCTGAGCAGCTGTTTCGTCCTAGTTTGAAACTTTTCACAGTATGCGCCCACCGGGGTTCGAACCTAGGACAAAGCCAGCTTATGGACCATTAAGCCACTGGGATCCGATCCAATGGCCCATGAGTTCTAACTTCTGCCAATTCACGACATAGCGCGACCCCTAGCCAATATCTTCGGCAAGTATTTTTCCTCACACTTGACCTGCTGCACCCTACTGGTCACGACTTCTCACTAGAACCCCAGGTAACTACCTACCTGAATAGGGCAAGTCGTTAGTGAGCATCTCATCGATAATTAAGCGTTGGTCTGTAGGGATTTGATTGATTGGTTACTGGATTTCATCATGAGCTGAAATTGGTTAGAGAACCCTTGGAAAACCAACTGGGAGTACTGGACAACTGTTGCGTCCTCCCCCTTAGTTTGGGACTCTTCGTCAGTACGCACCCACCGGAGTTCGAACCCAGGACCTTCTGGTTACAAGACGAGCTCGTATATCATTTAGTCACTGGAATCCATGACCACTACGGTGCAGCAGGTCGGGTGTGAGGACAAATACTGCTGAAGAGTCCCAAACTAGGACGAAACAGCTGTCCAGTACTCCCAGGTTTTCCAATGGTTCTCTAACCAATGTCAGCTCATGTTAAAATCCTGTAACCAGTCAAGTCCCTACAAACCATCATTCAAAGAATACTATATCCGATAATTAGAAAAAAAATTGTTAATGACAAAATATGCAAGTATTGGTTTGTAAGGATACTTGAATATTAATGAGATGCTCACTAGCGACTGACCCTATTTCAAGTAGGTAGTTACCTAGATTCTAGTGGGAATTCGTGACCAGTAGGGTGCAGTGGTTCGGGCGTGAGGAGAAAACCTCGCCTATCACATCGGTCAGTGGTCGCGCCATATCACGAACTGGCAGAAGGTAGAATTCATGGGCGTTTGGATATAAACCCAGTGGCTTAATTGTCTACGATCTCGCCATGTAACCAGAAGGTCCTAGCTTCAAACCCAGGTGGTTGCGTGCTGATGAAGAGTCCCAAACTAGGCTGACGAAACAACTTACTGTTGGTTTTCCAATGGTTCTCCAACCCATGTCAGCTCATGATGAAATCCTATAACTAACAACATTATTGCTGTTTTAAATTACATTAAATCAATAGTATTGACAGACTGCATTTCTAAAGCAACAGTAAGAGAGAGATGGTATGCATTCATATAACACTAAACTGACTGAATATCAGATAAACTAAGGGAAGTGACATAACATTTATGAATTTATAGATTCAACAGCAGGCCAGGGTAGTAATAGCGTCTGGACCTGCTTCTTTTGCACTCAAATCTCAAGTTGATTAAAGAGAATCGTAATGGTTTCTGGTGTTTGAAGTGTTTGTTATCTGGAGGCCTTTGATAATTTATTCGATCCCATATAGATGATAGCTGGAGACCCTTCAATGCTGCTAGCTTTGTGGCTTGTTTGGACGGGGTGATCCAAAATAGAACTATTGAGAGTTTTAACATCTTTATTTAGCCACGCTGGTAGGTGTTCCAGAGATGAAAAATCAAGTCCCTAGGGCTACAACTAATGATAGCGTTTGCAGTTTTTAATGCTTAATAGGCAGTTTTAATGTGGTATATTAACTAAAGTGTGAAGTACTGAGTGTATTTTTGAAGTTTACAATATAATACTTTCTTAAAACTATTTGTTCAGATCTAATTAAGTTAATTTAATCTATGTACGTCAGTTGCTATGTTACAGTGATTTTTTTAATATTTTGTTTCTTTTAATAGTTGATAACAGTAGTATGCAAACAACTTAAATATTTTTGCATCTAATTAGGGTGTTTGATAACGTTTTGAAGTTATAATCGTTCACCGTTAAATTAAGATCTCAGCAGGAACAATGTTACTTATGGGAACAGCAGTGTTTCTAGTGAATTAGTTTCAAAACAGGATAAAACATCAACTGTAAATTACACTGCAAGCAATCGCTGAACACACATTTTTTCAACTAAAGTCGTATTTCCAAGTATTGGTTTTGTAGGGATTTTGTTTGATTGGATGGAGGATTTCATCATAGGCTGACATCAGTTACAGAACCATTGGAAAACCAACTGGGAGTACTTGACAATTGTTTCGTCAGCCTAGTTTGGGACTCTTCATCAGTACGCACTCACCGGGTTCAAACCCAGGACCTTCTGGTTACAAGGTGACGTAGCTCGTAGACCATTGAACCACTGGGACCCAATCCAATAGCCAGCCCATGAATTTCAACTTCTGCCAATTCACGGCACAGTGCGACCATTTCGCAATGTCTTCTTCGATGAGTTACTGCCTCACATTCAACCGGCTGTACCCTACTGGTCACAGCTTCCTTCTATAACCCCAGGTAACTGTCTGAATAGAGGCAGTCTCTAGTGAGCATCAGATTAATTTTCAGGTATTGGTTTTGTGGGCATTTTGTTTGATTGGTTGGAGGATTTCATCAAGAGCTGACATCAGTTTACGATGACATTAGTCGTATTGTTTATTCTTTTCTCACTTCCTCAAATTTCACCCTACTTAGTATTTGTCATAGTGCAATCATCTGATGAATAATAAATTCCCCATAATCCATTTCCAAAGGTTACATCTGGAGTTTCTTCAGTGACTGAGGTCATTAATACCATACCATTACCTTTCCTATTTACCGGGGCTTAGAACCAGCTAGAAAACTAGCTAACTAGTAAACCGGACTTGGTCACACAAACTCAAAGACTTACAGACAAAAACCAACAAACTGTCAGAAGAAGCAGCAAAAACAGGATTTCAAGTGAACGTTGAGAAGACGGAGGTGATGTAGATAGCCAACCAACCAACCAACAAGAACTAACATCAATCACCACCAACGGAATAAATTCAAAAGAGATCACTTCCTTCACTTATCTAGACAGAATCGTTTCAACTACAGGAGGCGGCACAGATGACTATATCAAAACTAGAATTGGAAAGGCAAAACAAACATTCATCACTCTGATATCAGTGTGGAAATCTTCTGCACTCAGAATAAAGAACCAAAAAAATCTGATTGTTAACACCAATGTTGAGTCATTTAGTGCTTCTATATTGGTCAGGAACTTGGCTCTAGAGTCACGGAAAGCATTTCCAACAAGCCACTGCAGACCTCTATCAACATCAGTCTTCGCTGGCTCCATACTGCAAAATCAGATGGCTAGCCAGGAAGAGTCGGCAAAAAGAAACTCTGGGAAGGAACCAATCAAGTACCTACTGCTCAACAAATGAGCGGAAGGAAATGGAGAATGACTAGACATCACACTTCAGGTTATAGCTTGAGTGGAAGGTGAATGGGGAACGATGAGTTGGACGTTGGTCGGAGGATGACATTTAGGAGATCGTTTGAGGAAGAGATCAGAGACTTTAGGCAGTCATTTGGTGAGATGAAGAGGACCACAGAAAATAGAAACTCGAAACTAAAGGGAACAATGATAATTTTTTCTATTCCTTTACGTCCCCAGTGGAACATATGTAGCTTCAAGCTAGAAGCTCGAAGTTTCAGTGGTGCTTATTTTTTACAGGATGGGGTTACTAGCCTCATGCCCAACCTTCCCTCCTTACCAGTATTAATACTGGTTTGGTGAGGTAAAGAAGTGCGTCGGCCGGTGATCGAACCCTGAACCACATGAGTGGTTGGCAAGCATTCTATCGCTGTGCCACCGACGCACCTGAAAGATGATAATAGTATGTCATATTTATAACTCAGAAAATATCTTAAAAGATGATTGGTGTATATCGCCTGTTGAGATTCTAATTACTTTGATTAGTTGAATTTTGCTATATATGACTTTCATATGAAGATGACATAATATGTTGTTCATCATTAGTGCAAATACTTTCCATAAGATCACTCAATCATCTCGACTTTAGATGCCTATATTCGTTAGTAAGGAAGTAGGCATAAAACGATATACATAACTATTATGATGCTGATTTTATGACTAAAATAGAACACTGGTATGTATCAAACTGCAGCTGTGTGATAGTTTTTTGTTTTATTCCTAAAGACGAAATGTGGACTAGAAATTCTTTCATTTTCACAAATTTATTAGATGAATTCACACATTCTGGATAGCTTTGGAAAAATATCCCGTCTAAAAGAAAATAATTGGCAAGTGACTCCTTCCTTGACTTTTAAAAAAGACTCCATGGTAGTGTACACAGATAGACCCTGTCGAACGTGTCATGATATAACCACAACTCATGAAGTCAATGAAAATCCAGTAGTTTAGAATTCCAAAATTACTTATTTTGATAAGTTGCAGTTTGTGTAGGAAAATAGTTACCTACTGATAATTCTACACCAAATCTTGAATATGCTGAAGGTGTACAGTAATCTAACAACTTAGCTGAAAAATGAACTTTGCCTTAAGTTTCAATAGAGTGATATTGCGCTTAGGCGTTGAGTATTAGGTAAGGAGGAAAAATCCATCAGGAAGATAGCTGAGAAATATGTCAAGCATACCAAGTCATCTCCTTTGGCATTAAATAATGTAAGCTGACATAAAATTACGTTGGGAAAGAGTAAGGGTTGATTTCAATTCTTGATGTCTCTGACTGTTGATTTAAGTCAAGTGGGGAATTGGTAACTACCTGCCTGAAGTCTTCGAGACACTAAAAACCTATGGAGTAAGGCTGTTGGTGTGAGTTTTGAAAATTGTTCTCATTGGTACAGATGAATTCACTCTTATTCAACTCATAGATCCATCAATTTCTGTAATTATTCTTTTTTGCTTACATTTCCGTTCATTATAGCTACTTAAAATTTCATTCTCTACTTCTCTATGTTATACTGAGTGTGGCAGTTCGAACTACTGCACTTTTGTGCAAAGTTCTAAGTTGGAAACGATTCAGTCAGATCAGGGCAAAATTTGATAACTG